CTGTCTCATCTCTCTCTCTCTCTCTCTCTCTCTGTCTCTCCCTCTCTCGTATCCTCTATACATGCTTGCTCCATCTCTCTCTCTCTCTCTCTCTCTCTCCCTCTCTCATATCCTCTATACATGCTTGCTCCAATTTCTCTCTCTCTCTCTCCCTCTCTCGTATCCTCTATACATGCTTGCTCCATCTCTCTCTCTCTCCCCCTCTCTCATATCCTCTATACATGCTTGCTCCATCTCTCTCTCTCTCTCTCTCTCTCCCTCTCTCATATCCTCTATACATGCTTGCTCCATCTCTCTCTCTCTCCCCCTCTCTCATATCCTCTATACATGCTTGCTCCATCTCTCTCTCTCTCTCTCTCTCTCTCTCTCTCTCCCTCTCTCATATCCTCTATACATGCTTGCTCCATCTCTCTCTCTCTCCCCCTCTCTCATATCCTCTATACATGCTTGCTCCATCTCTCTCTCTCTCTCTCTCTCCCTCTCTCATATCCTCTATACATGCTTGCTCCATCTCTCTCTCTCTCTCCCCCTCTCTCATATCCTCTATACATGCTTGCTCCATCTCTCTCTCTCTCTCTCTCTCTCCCTCTCTCATATCCTCTATACATGCTTGCTCCATCTCTCTCTCTCTCCCCCTCTCTCATATCCTCTATACATGCTTGCTCCATCTCTCTCTCTCTCTCTCTCTCTCTCCCTCTCTCATATCCTCTATACATGCTTGCTCCAATTTCTCTCTCTCTCTCTCCCTCTCTCGTATCCTCTATACATGCTTGCTCCATCTCTCTCTCTCTCCCCCTCTCTCATATCCTCTATACATGCTTGCTCCATCTCTCTCTCTCTCTCTCTCTCTCCCTCTCTCATATCCTCTATACATGCTTGCTCCATCTCTCTCTCTCTCCCCCTCTCTCATATCCTCTATACATGCTTGCTCCATCTCTCTCTCTCTCTCTCTCTCTCTCTCTCTCCCTCTCTCATATCCTCTATACATGCTTGCTCCATCTCTCTCTCTCTCCCCCTCTCTCATATCCTCTATACATGCTTGCTCCATCTCTCTCTCTCTCTCTCTCTCTCCCTCTCTCATATCCTCTATACATGCTTGCTCCATCTCTCTCTCTCTCTCCCCCTCTCTCATATCCTCTATACATGCTTGCTCCATCTCTCTCTCTCACTCTCCCTCTCTCATATCCTCTATACATGCTTGCTCCATCTCTCTCTCTCCCCCTCTCTCATATCCTCTATACATGCTTGCTCCATCTCTCTCTCTCTCTCTCTCTCTCTCTCTCTCTCTCCCTCTCTCGTATCCTCTATACATGCTTGCTCCATCTCTCTCTCTCCCCCTCTCTCATATCCTCTATACATGCTTGCTCCATCTCTCTCTCTCTCTCTCTCTCTCTCCCTCTCTCGTATCCTCTATACAGGCTTGCTCCATCTCTCTCTCTCCCCCTCTCTCATATCCTCTATACATGCTTGCTCCATCTCTCTCTCTCTCTCTCTCTCTCCCTCTCTCATATCCTCTATACATGCTTGCTCCATCTCTCTCTCTCTCCCTCTCTCCCTCTCTCATATCCTCTATACATGCTTGCTCCATCTCTCTCTCTCTCTCTCTCTCTCCCTCTCTCATATCCTCTATACATGCTTGCTCCATCTCTCTCTCTCTCTCTCTCTCTCTCTCTCCCTCTCTCATATCCTCTATACATGCTTGCTCCATCTCTCTCTCTCTCTCTCTCTCTCTCCCTCTCTCGTATCCTCTATACATGCTTGCTCTCTCTCTCTCTCTCTCTCTCTCTCTCTCTCTCTCCCTCTCTAGTATCCTCTATACATGCTTGCTCCAATCTCTATCTCTCTCTCTCTCCGTCTCTCATGGTAAAGTTGTTGTCCACTTTTTGCATTTAAAGCCCCTCCCCTTTTTGCTCACCCAATTATGAGACTGTGACATTTTCATGCACTTTGAATAGGAAAATGACAACAACTTTACCCATTACCAGGTTGAAAAAATGGTAAAGTTGTGACACAGGTTTTTTCACCATGATTTGACATTGAAAAGTCAAGAGAATATAATTTTTGCAGAGGGAATAATCCATTCCCTTATCAAAATTACTATGATACAGTAATCCACTTTTATTCCCTCTCCAAATTTGAAAAAGTGTCCTCTTTAACATAATACTAGACAACCCCTAATGTGACCAACATAGTGAAGCAAATGTAAAATATTGTTTTTCCTTCTACTTGAAAGATCAAACTTTTTTTTCACTTAATCTTATCACACATTGTTCTATTTTGGTATTAGTACTTAGATAATATATTTATGAAAGTAATTTAACAGTTTGTATGTTGATGTAAACAGCGATATTTTTTTTAATAATTTTTTCTCAATGGAATTTATTGGGCATCATAGTCATTTTCTCCAGAAAATATGACCATAACATGGTAAAGTTGTTTCACAGGAACCAGTCAATTCTACAGTTTTCTTCAATGTCATTGCTCATTTATATAGAAAATATCAATCATATAGCCTCAACAAAAAAAATTACCCTAAAAAACAACAATTTTGACTCTAAAACTCTAACCCTAATCGTGTTACTTGAAAATTTCGCCTTTGTTTTCTATTGTTTAGTTCACTATTTTGGTAAATGTGTGCCAGATAAAAATGACAGTAAAATGCAAATAATACAGGGAAATGCCCTATTATCAAGATTTCCTATATTTTGAATATCAACATTTAATGAAAATGATCATCCCATCCTCCTAAAGCTTAAAAGTAGTAGAGAAAATATGTTCTCACTTTTTCATTTTTTAAAGTCCCCAAAAAATAATTATAGCGCCCTCTACTGCCACCAAAAGTTTTCTAAAGTAATGCCTTCTACTTTTTGTATTAACTATTCTTTTATTCTTATAATGTGTGTAAATAAGACCAGTCAATAATACTACATGCTGCATTTTAGTTACATGTGTATCATTTTCATAGCATTGAATTTTTCATTATTCAAGATTGATAATAATCACATCTACAAACAGTTTTAATCTCTTTTATTTCAAAAAATACATGTAATTTAAACAATTTCTCATACGGTGATAGTTTTCTATCCCTTATTTTTTTTTTTCCTTCAAAGCAAGCATTATGCTTTATAATAACTACTGGACACCCATGGCTTTTAAATACTGTATAGCGGAACTTGAAATTGAGGAATAATGCCTTTTAAAAAAACGGCAGTGAAGCTAGAGGGGGCAGAGAAGGGAGCCTGTGCCCCCCCCCCCTCTTTCTCGTCCTATGCCACTACAAAAGTACAATTAACATACAGATTCAGTTTGCAACCCAAAATCTGAGTTATTTGTACAGCGCATTTGAACATGTATATGGAAAATACGATATAAATTCAGTATTATTATAATTATTATTATTATTTGAACACTGTTCAGCCACTGATCCATCAAGCCCCAAATAATGTAGGCCCAATGTTCATTTCTGTTAGTAATGTACCAATCAATAGCATTTCAAAATCTTTATCTGCATAATTACATTATTTCCTCTTTGATGACCACCCCCCCCCCCCCCCACATAGTCTTTAAAAAAACCACGACTTTTGTTGTTGTTTTGTTCCTGTCACATAATGTTCTTGAAGGTATATCTGCTTTATGTGCATCTTATATGTATGCCTAACAACCAATAAGGAGGGCAAACAGAAATGAATATTTATCACCACTATTGGTTGTTGTTCTTGTTGATATTTCATTATGTATCACACTGTTAATGTTTGATTTTTATGTTCCTGGAAATCATATTAATAATTAAGTAAACTAAATCAATCAATCAATCAATCAATCAAAATCATCATCACCCTCATAATTATCATTATCTATTAGATTATCTGATCAACAGCATATCTCGACAAAATGAAATATGTCGATTAAGAGATTTGATTTGTATTGTAACTTGAAAAACCATTCTGCTAAATAATAGTACACCATGCAAATGCAATGTTTGGTGAAATTTTCATCTTCAACACACAATCAACATGAGCATCATCTTCACGATCATCAGATTGTCACAATCATTCCCATCACCATAGCCATCTTCACTACCAACACTTATGTCATCATAAACGACATTAGGATATGTAGAACAAAAATATACAAAAGATGTTATATTTGTTTTAAACATATTGCATTGTGTAATGTTTTTAATGGTTGAATGACAAACAAAAATATATAACAGTATAAAGCGGTCACAGTCATAACTTTTTAGACAGTTTTCATATTAAGCATAACAAAAACAAGGGTTAACAACTGTAGCCGAAAAAACCCACAGAGCTTTACCAAAAATGTTCATTTACATTCACAGTAACGAAAGAAACAGAATCTGTTTTTTGCGGTTATTTGAGATTTAATAGAGGATGTTTTCTTGTTACCCTGAATATCAACATCATGACAATAACAACAATTACAACACAAACTTTCCCAACTGAATATAATAATAATATCAAATATTTAGGAGCGCTAAAAACAATAAGTACCATAGCGCTTACAAATACATATATATATGAAAAGAGGACAACAAAATGTTCTCACATGAAGTAGATCCCATAGATCACTGGGGAAAAGGGTAAGTTTTGAGGGATCTTTTGAAGGTGGCAAGACAGGTAATTTCCCTTATAGAAAGAGGGATGTTGTTCCAAGTCTTTAATGCAGCTACTGCAAAACGTTTTTCAGCTGTTGAGAGTCTAGATTTGGAATGATAAGTTTACATGCGTCGGCTGCTGAGCAAAGATTCCGAGATGGTGTAATGTGTATATATACAAGGATAAACCGTTGTCGTACTTTGACTTGACATGTTACACTGCTACAATCCACCCCTAGGAAGGACCCAGGTATTAATTTTTCGATCCATTTATACAAGTATCTGCATATGCATACATTGGAGCATGGAGATACCATGTCCAACTCTAAGAACTCTCTGCATCGTGGCCACCAACAGACAAGACTTTTGTACACAACCCCCCCCCCCCCCCCCCCCCCCCCCCCCGGCCATAAAAAAGGCGACACTACTCCGTGCATTGAACAGGCGAACAGTATTACTTTCTTGCCCGGACCAGGGAATACAGGTTATACATAACCCCCCCCCCCCCCTTGCAAAGAAGGCAAATAGGTCCCTGCATTGAACAGGCGAACAGATGAAAATACAATGCCATTTTATTTTGTTGACAAGCGACAGATTCCTTAGTGTTACATGATTAATTGTTTGTAGAAAGCCTTCGCTGAGCATCCTAGGGGTCCTTTCCTAGACATCGGGTCATACACAGCATTGGTCTATAAGGAATAGAAAATGAATTATATGTTAATTTCAATTTATGCACCATATAAAAAATGTACTTCTATGATTCAATTATATGTATTATTTTTTTCATATAATGGCGAGTTTGACCTCATTCCAAGTAGCAACAGCTAACTATGAAATGGACTTGAAGGGTGTTCTACAAAGAGTTAAGTTTGACTTAAAGTCATACGTAAGGGCCAATTTGCATACGTTATTAAACGCAAAATCTCATTGGTAGATTAGGCAACTAGGACTTTAAGTGCCACTTTAAAGGTAAATGTCCCATTTGCAGGCCAAATAAATGAAAAGATTAAATTCCAATGGCATTTTGAAGATATTACTAATTTATAACTTCTGTCAAAAGTAAAGGGCTTGAAAATGCCTTTTTGTGGGAAAATAACGACGATTAGTTGTCAAATCGACATTAGAGATTGCAATCACTGAAGTAAATTGTCTGATTTTCAGACCCTTGTACCGAATGGTCATATAATTTGTGCTGCACAAAGACCAGATCAGTTTAATTTTGGCCATTATAAGAAGTGGGTTATTGATGTAGACAAATGCTGCATGTTACAGCTCATTTATGTACTATGTTATTACCAAAGAAAAAAGAAGTCAGTCAGTCACTCAATGGTGTCCGACAGTGAAGTCTATTTATAAAGTAAACGGGTTTCCTTACATAATTTGAATACTAGGACTTTGCTAACGTTTAAATTTCACATATAGGACATACATGCCATATTCATGATTCCTGCAATGTTCTACATAATTTGATGTTGGTTGCAAAAGGGACACAGTATCTTTAAAGTCAAACTTAACTCTTTGGGAAACACACCCCTGATATTGTATAGGAGGCAGTCATAGTAGACCAGTTTAAAAACAGACTGAAAATTCACTTTTACTAAAGTGCATAGGGACTGAAAAGTGATATGAGCTATACAAATACAGTTTATTATTATCATTATCTATGCATCTAATACTTCACATAATTTAGCTGTAGTATATGACAATCATTATGCTTACCAATGCTCGAAATGGCCTTTTCTTCATCTTGGACGCATTTGAAAGGGCAGCCTGTAAAATGAGCTTGATCATTGTCTGCTCTCCATCTGGTTAGAGGAGTCTACGCTGACACGTTGTGTGCTGAAAGAAATGTGGAAAATATAATTTCTTACTCCTCAAAAAATAGATTTCTGTTTCTTTCCAATACTTAAAGGGATCCGGTAACTTTGTCTCAGATTTTGAAACAAAATCCTGGAATTAGCTCATGCTGCAATGATAATTATAAACCTTTAGGTCAGTAAGGAACCCCCATGGCTTTTACAAGCCGATCGCTTGTCTGATTATCAAGATGTTTATGATTGGAATTACAAATTTTGACACTACAGTCTATTGGGGAAAACGAGTGATGATTTTGAAGCGTGATTCTTTTAGGGCTTCAATATTACACCATATCACAGACACTGATAACATGTAGGGCCGTGCATCTCAGATTTAACATTGTTAAACGATGCCTTTAAAGTACCTACATACATATGCATGTATCTACTAGCAGTGACATTTGTTTACATGGCAAGTATTTTTTTCTTCTAAGTTTGGCGTAACAGAATTTTTGTTTACATTTTATCCCACAGAGTACCTAACATTTCATTCAAATAAATCTTACACACTGTACAAAAAAAATTCCTCTACAATATTTGTAAGTAGGATGGAAAAGACAGACAATTGCCCATTACAAATGTTTTATAGGAAATGTGTATAACAAAAAGAAAAATTATGCTTACATTTTCTTGGAAAGCAAAATTATTAATCATTTGAATATTGGTTTGGACTATTTATCATCTACAAGAAAGTTACAATCCACGTCTCATTTAAACACACTTTATTGTGGATATACAGTGTACTTTATAGAAAACAGCCCTACATGTATTTCAGGTTCCCCCGGTATCTATACTAAGGTGAGTTTTGAGAGCTTTTGTCACATAAGATTAAACTTGTTTACAAAATGCTGCCCTAATTTGGCAAAAGGAACAAGTGACAACAGTGACATTTCATGTAAAAGAGTAAAAGAGCAAAATGCATCTGTCATTTACACTGACCCCAATGCAATAGCATGTCTTGCCTAACATATCTCTAAGCAGGACGAAGAGCCCACTAGGTATAATATGTCTTTGCTTCCTTTTGACAAAGCAGGGCAGAATGTTTATTGGACAGTTAAGGATGTGTTTTGTTTCTACAAGCTGGTCTATAAGTACTGACAAATGTTTACAAGTTTAGGTACATTACTACATTTTAAATCTAAACTTATGATAAATCCATTTTAATCACACTCCCAAGTGTGATTTACTTACATGTGACTTTGTTGTGCTCAATTATATTAAATTGTGACAATTTCATAATTTTCTTGATATCCAAACATCCTGCAAGAAATACATATTCCCCCAAAAAGATAAGTTGCAAAAGTCTGCCCAAATAAATATTTCAATACCTTTTCAAGAAATTCCTTAGAAAATATCTATAGCTGATGGTTTCTTCTATTAAGGTTAAAAGAAATGAGTTTTCAAGAAATAAATTTCACTAATTTCTCATGCTCAAATAATATAGAAATCAAAAGATAAAAAACTTTTAGGACAGTGGGAAGGGAACTATATTGTCATGGAAACATTTTTTTCTTTTAAAAATTAAATGTAGGGTGTCCTGTCATATATTAGCTATAATGACTGGATAAATTTGCATAGGGAACAATAGGGATTTTTTTCTTCTCATTTAATAACGTATCAAGATAATTCTTTCAAGCTTACCACAACTGCTTCCCCAATACTTGGTTGCCAACTTTGTACAACAGTAAGCTGTAAACGAAGAGGGAAACATGAAATCAGTATAATTGCATTAAATTCATAACATTCTATTTTGTTGCTTCTTATTTGAGTGTGATCAGTTAAGGGTGAGCATTCTGTCTTACAGAGAAGAACAAAGTTATCATAAGATCAATTCAAAGCCTATCACTACCTTGAAATTCATTAAAGTTGTTATTTCAATAGGTAAAATGCTTTTTTCTTGGGTCAAACTCATTGAATGTTAATGACTGATGATATAAGGTAAATACATACAAACAAATTGGGAACCAGTGCATTGCCTAATAATTTCCATATGTCACACCACTGTTCACATCATAACTTGCCTCAATTGCTTTTGTTAGGAATTATTGACCTAAGTTACATTAATTGCTTGCAGAAAAATACTTCTTTAACATTTATGGAAAAAATAAATTACACATTGTGCAGTTTTAATTAGTTTAGGACATATACTAAGTTTGTCTGTATTGACTACTCAATTATGAAAGGTGTACTGTTCATTGCAAGTACGTGTAGTTAAAAATGCTTATGTGATCTAACAGAGTAAAATATGAAGCTAATAGCAATTGTAGTCATCAAAACTCCTTAGAAAATTCACTTACAAACATAACTCTCTTTTGCATGTTATGAAAGACAGGGTACAATGTATTCTATGGTTTATTTTGGATGTTACACAATGTTAACATTTCAATCAGATCATCAATTTCTACAAACTCTACACTATAGATGTTTAATCAGCTTGCTTTGTTCTTTGCTATAAACTACATGTACAATGTGTCATTCAAGAATATCACTGAACACATGTACATGTATGAACAAGCAAAACATTAACAATTACAACAACAACAAAATGTAAAAAGTTTCCCGGCCATTTTAAGTTTTAGAAAAAGGGAATCCTAATGCATTGTTCATCCTGAGAATTGGACATTTTACATGTATTTTGTATGTTTCAGGTTTTAATACTAGTTAGTAACAATAACGCTCTTAATCTTAATATGTATTTATCTATTTACTTGATGACCGATGGATGGATGGATGGATTGATTGGTTGGTTGAGTGATCTTTACTCTTGCTGTGCCGATATCATAAGTGACAAACAGTTTAGGTTAAACATGTATCTTAGATTGCACATTGCTCCAACATGTATTTGGATACCAAGATATTCAGAGCATAAATCAATCATTCTAGTTATCTGTGAAATGTGAAATATAATACATTATAGATTCATAAAAACATTTGTTTTCTTCTTGATCTTTCAAATTTCTGTTTGACAATAAACAATGGTTAAATAAGCAAGAGAAAAAGGACAAGCAGTATTAAAGCCCATTTACATGTATATTTCACACTGCATGTACCTTATAAATGTACAAAATACATTTGAGGAAGATACAATATATATGTTTAGGATCATTGAATAAGGTATTAATGCTGTTTTCTTTTATACATGTACATGTATGTAAATCTTGTTGGAAGGGTCAAGCGTTTGAAAGGTATTTGTCATTAGTACATGTGAGGGTAATGAAATGAAAGGAAAAATTTATGAATAAATTCATTTTGAAGAGGCTTCACCTTATTGCCCCCACAAATTGGTAATCCCTTTTCTTGTAATTTGGAAATTTGGCAGAATTACAGCCACATGAACATGTGTTTTACAAGTTTCTCTAATAGGAAATGGATACTAGAACTGATTATTGTTTTATGAATACATACTGTAAGCCCTTGTGCTAATCAATTGTATTTGTACATGTACATGTATGCAACCAATGAGTGTGTCTTGTAGAGTGCAAGCCTATTTCATAACATTTCTTGATAAATTGTTATCATTTAAGAGAAGGTTCATTGATTTTCAAAACTAACTTTATTGCAAAGCTAGGTGAAACTTTAATTGGACAAGGTTATCAAAATTCAATGCTTGGAAACATTTGAAGTAAGGATTATTATCAATTACAAAGCGCTTAAATACAGCCCCGGCATAGCACCTGAAGAGCTCTCTGAACACTTGAGATGTGTGACGTCACATTTTGAATATGATTTGCTCAAGCAAACGCTGTCCCATGACATCTCAAACATTTTCATTGCCTGTTTTTTCATCTTCTCTTCAGTTATTTCTCTCACTTCACTACCCTCAGGCTAAATGTTTAATCTATTGCCTCACTCTAAACCTCGTGCATGGTATTATTTTGATAAAAAATGCAGCGATTTAAAAATTAAGGAATCCATGTAACAAAAATAAGACGCCATTTTATTTTCAGCTGCATCCACGGTGGTATGTTCGGCATTTCAAGAGGAAATTTTTATAAATCACCCGATATGGAGTTGACCTCAAACTTGTACGATGGCCATCTGTTAGCTTACCAGTTTCTAGTGATACATAATTTGCCATATATATATATATATACGGACTTACAGATATATGTGATTTTCTTTGAACAGGCACTGTGAATGCAAATTTAAGTATTGAATAATGGCAGTAGTAATCCTTTCTACATAGATTAGTTACATGTACTTGGTGCTTTTTTAAAAGATATTGTAATATATTTTTAGATTTTAAGCTGGCTTTCGATTCAATCAACCATGTTCTTCCTTTCAAAACTTTATTGTTATGGAATTCGTGGAGTTACCCTCAAATTTATTTTGCAGTTATCTAAATGATAGAAAACAATTCACTGTTTTCGATTCTAAAACTTCAAGTTTACAGTCAGTTTCCTGTGGAATTCCGCAGGGGTCAATTATAGGCCCCCTGCTCTTTTAAATTCATTTAAATTATTTACATTCAGTCTCTCCCATTTTGAATTTTATACTGTTCACGGACGATACCAATATATTTTATAAGCATAAAGATGTCGAATGCCTGACCCAAAATCTGAACAATGAACTCCTAAAAGTTAGTGAGTGGATAAGCGCAAATAAACTGCAAATGTTATGTTGTTTTACTTTCCAAAGATGTGTGCTAGTGAAGTAAAAATATATATGAATGGGAATTTGATTAAACATACAAATTTAACAAAGTTCTTAATATTGATAAAGATAAAGTGGAAAGCACACGTCTATGAAGTTCTATGCAAAGTGTCTAGAACAATAGGAACTATGAGTAAACTAAAAGACATCTTGCCAACCAATATTCTTACAATGTTATACAACTCACTAATCTTGCTTTACATATCCTACTGTAACATTATATGGCTTTTTGTAAACAACATTTACTTGATCATATTTTCCTCACTAATCTTGCTTTACATATATCCTACTGTAACATTATATAGGGGTTTTGTAAACAACATTTACTTGATCATAATTTGCTTGATTTTATCACACTTATATATCTGTAGCATATCCATGTCATGTACACTGGGTATTGTTTAAGTGGGTGATTTTGAGCTTTTGGTTATCTACCAAATAGTTTAAATTGACCATCTACATTCTTTGGTTATATGACATCATTTGGAACACGCTCTATGAAAATGAAAACCTGATGATTTGCAAACACACAACAATAAAAATATCAAGAGGAGAGGTTGAAAAATTGAAATCTTACATCTATATTTGCCCCTCATTTAAACTACTGTAGTTAAAGTATGAAAATGTCTGTTAAGTGTTAACAGTCTAATGTAACGTCCGAAACGTGCTAACAGCATACCAGAAAGTGCTGTTAAAATGGCTGAATAATTTTTACGAGTCCCTTTTGTTGAGATTTTTTCAGATAAAGTACAATTATGGATTTACTGTTTAAAGCAGCAAGCAATGCCTTGCATCACAAAGTGTGGCTTCAATATTGTATGTTTTATAAATCAATTTCGCAGAAAGTTGAGATATTTTACAGAAAATTTGATTTACTTTTTTAGCATCATATTTCTTAATATCTTTATATTCAAACCTATATAAAGTTATCAAAATAGTTTCCTTAACAGGAGTGTTCATTGTGAAATCGTAACTTGCAGATATGATCAAAAATGGTGTTAACAATGAAATTGTGTAATGTCCGAAACAGCCTTCTTGTGCTTACACAAAAATGATTGGATAAGAAAGACCTGATTTGTGTTTAGACTTGTGTTAAGACTTATGATAACTCATTTAATAAACATTTATGAACTCCAGATATCCTAAAATATGGATTATCATCATTAAAATGGTATTTCTTGATTTAGACATTAAAAGTAAACTGTTAACAGAAAATTGGTTTTAACTTTAAAATAAATATTGTAATGATGCATTGCAAAATTTCTTTGTTTTGGTGGTTAGCTGCCTTGAGATGTTCAAAAATGTTATGATAGATAGTTCCTGCAGTTCATATCTTCTGCTACCTCTAATGAAAATTGTTTCGGACGTTGAGACAACTTTTTCAATTTTTGACTTTATTTCTAATATGCACTACTATAATTTGATTTCATTTCATTTTCATAGAATCACTTGGAGTAACTAATAAGCTTATTCAAACTATATACAATCTCATTAATTTATTTTTCTAGTGAGTTAATTGGGGATCTACATTGTTTACAGAAAATGTAACATCTGAAGCAACATTTTCAATTGTACTGTTCCATCAAAATACAGGAGATGATTCAGATTACTGTTAACCTTCTTTAAAGTCCCTGTTCAAAGAAAATCACAAATATATGGCAAATAACGCTTCACTAGAAACTGGTAAGCTAACAGATGGCCATCGTACAAGTTTGAGGTCGACTGCATATCGGGTGATTTATAAAAATACATATAAAACCACCTCCATTGCATCTGGGATATACGAGATATTCGCCAGAAAAATAACGATGTTTTAATGATGTCACATTATGAACCATCCCTGCCCAAGCAGACGACATCCCACAAAAAATGAACATAATTGCAATGCTATTATTTCTCAAATTATAATGAGTTTAGTGAATATAAATGTGATGGCATTTGACACCATTCAAAAAGGGGTATGAAACCGATTCTAAATTCTTTTATTTGTAAATACACAGGATAGGGGTTAATGATCAATCAAAGAAACCACACTTTCAAATTGAAAAAAACCCTGAATGATAGCATGGACAGCATATGTTCCCTTTTGAAACGCCGAACTACCACAGTGTATATGCAGCTGAAAATACAATGGCATCTTATTTTGTTTACAAGCAATGGATCACTTTATTTAAGCGTTTTGTAACTGATAATAATCGATACTTTGAATGTTTCCAAGCTTTGAATTTTGATAACCTTGTCCAATCAAAGTTTCACCTTTGCAATAATGACAATAAAGTTAGTTTTTAAAATCAATGAACCTTCTCTTTAAGATCCAATTATGCTCATTAATCATCAATAGAAAATAATCATATTGTTTGTAGCTACATATTTTTTTCAGCTCCAACCAAAAATGGTATGTCAATTTTGTTACAAAATTCTGTAAACAATTTGCTGTTCAGGGATACCTCATGCACATAAAGCAAAGTTGACAATTTTTCATCAAGCTATGGGAGGTCAATCTAGGTCCATACTACAAGAAAAATTGGCAACTGATTTCTAATACTTTATCTTTGAAAAGTTTCAGGCTCTCAAAGAGCCATTTAGCTATTTGGTTTTTAAGAAAACAGTGAGTGCCTTATAAAATCTAAAGTTTTTTTGGAAATTCTGAATATATCTGATAGGGAAGTCAATTTCCCTGACTAACATTGGCAAGTGATTGTATTAGACAAGTTCATGATGTTCTTATATGAAGAGCAAAAGAGTACTGGGAAGTCAACACAAGATTTCTATCTCCCACTTTGAGAGACTGAGAATATCACTGATTCTTAGTTGAATAAGTAATGATGGGAACTTAACTTTATCAATTATCAGTACACCTGTGATACCCTCCACAATATATCCTAAAACAATCCATCATATCTAATTATGTCTTACAGGCCTTCCAACTACAAATAGTTCTTTGACATTAACTAATCACATTGATAAATGTGAAGATAAATTGCAATCACAATTTGTGAAACAAAATCACCATGATAATGTCAAAACTGTGGACAACTAGGTTTATGAAAATTACATAAGTGAGCTTCAAAGCTTTTGAAATAAAAGAGAGAGCATTTTGAGAGTTCACATCAGGCAACCAGAGGCTGCATAACAATGGGCCTGGAAGTAGTGTGTGGGGGGGGGGGGGGGGGGGGCTCATTTGTACACCAAACAAAAAGGTCCCCCTTCCACACTTATATAGTCCGAGCTCGATGCTTGGCTGCACTTGCAACATATTTTAATTTGCAAAAGCAAAAAACAAAAGATTGCCCTTAAAGAATAAATGGCCCTTTTTACATCATTCAAAACAGCTATATTGATGAGAATGGGACATTATTGGCATTAACTGCCTGAACATCATTAAAAACACAATCCATCTTCAAAAGTAAAGAAGAATTCACTGTTGACAATAACAGTGTTGTATAAAACATTTTGCTTTTGGACATATTTAGGATTGCTGTATATTCCATGAGAAAACATCATTAAAAATAGGCATCATTGCAGGGGGGGGGGGGGGGGATTCCCTTTGTAAACATACTGTAAGTAAATTAGAGCAGTAAATGAAAATGAGGAATATCGGTGCTCAAACCTGACTTGCAGAACTTTTTATGAGGGGTATTTACATATCAATACACTAGCCAGAAACTTACCACAATCAAATCGCTTCTTGATCCAGAAGGAACATCCTTACATCCAGGCTCCTATTTGTAGGACATAAACAAAAATGACAGGGGCATCGTTCATGGCAGGTAATACAAATGGAAGTAAACATTAGAAAATCATAAGTTTGAAAACAGTTTATAGGTAACGTTGTACAATGTAATTCTTGGTTAAAGAATTTCATTTCATTTCATTGATTGGTTCAACCATTTTTTTAAAAACAAACATTCAAAACTACAAGCTCGAAGGCTTGACTGCACCTGCAACATATTTTAATTTGCAAAAGCAATAACAAAAAGAAGCTGATATGCTTTAAAAGACAAACAAATTCAATAGGAATAAAGTGAAAGGACATGAAGATTTAAGGTACATAAAATGTTTGAAAGAGTTACAAAGACCTACTCTCAGGATTACTATTTTAAGTTTTAAGAGTCACATACAAATAAATATTCATAAATCAAGTTTGACTGATGATGTCTCTCGTATAACAATATCCTTGAATTTGGTGTGAATTTAAATGGTGTTTATTCCCCTTCATAATGATGCCCCATTTGTAATGATTATCTGTATGTAATCATGGAATGTGCAATAAACATGAGTCTAAGGCAAAATTAAAAGTGAAATGTTGCAAAATGCATTGTAATTGTCAGGAACGCATTCTACATTTGTTTGAAAGATGTTGAGGCCTTGCAAAGTAATTATATGCAGGACTAAAAGCTGTAAACTGACAGACTTGCAACAAATGTATGATGTACTCAAACACAATGCAACAAATGTATGATACTCAAACACAATGACAATTTCTCAATTAGCTGATTACAAATGCATTTCATCTTTATACAAACAAAGTTTAAAAACAAGATTGCCCTTAAAGAATAAATGGCCATTTTCACATCATTCAAAACAGCTATATTAATGAGAATGGGACATTATTGGCATTAACTACCTGAACATCATTAAAAACACAATCCATCTACAAAAGTAAAGAAGAATTCACTGTTGACAATAACAGTGTTGTATAAAACATTTTGCTTTTGGACATATTTAGGATTGCTGTATATTCCATGAGAAAACATCATTAAAAATAGGCATCATTGCAGGGGGGGGGGGGGGGTTCCCTTCGTAAACATAAGTAAATTAGAGCAGTAAATGAAAATGAGGAATATCAGTGCTCAAACCCGACTTGCATAACTTTTTTATGAGGGGTATTTACATATCAATACACTAGCCAGAAACTTACCACAATCAAATCGCTTCTTGATCCAGAAGGAACATCCTTACATCCAGGCTCCTATTTGTAGGACATAAACAAAAATGACAGGGGCATCGTTCATGGCAGGTAATACAAATGGAAGTAAACATTAGAAAATCATAAGTTTGAAAACAGTTTATAGGTAACGTTGTACAATGTAATTCTTGGTTAAAGAATTTCATTTCATTTCATTGATTGGTTCAACCATTTTTTTAAAAACAAACATTCAAAATTACAAGCTCGAAGGCTTGACTGCACCTGCAACATATTTTAATTTGCAAAAGCAATAACAAAAAGGAGCTGATATGCTTTAAAAGACAAACAAATTCAATTGGAATAAAGTGAAAGGACATGAAGATTTAAGGTACATAAAATGTTTGAAAGAGTTACAAAGACCTACTCTCAGGATTACTATTTTAAGTTTTAAGAGTCACATACAAATAAATATTCATAAATCAAGTTTGACTGATGATGTCTCTCGTATAACAATATCCTTGAATTTGGTGTGAATTTAAATGGTGTTTATTCCCCTTCATAATGATGCCCCATTTGTAATGATTATCTGTATGTAATCATGGAATGTGCAACAAACATGAGTCTAAGGCAAAATTAAAAGTGAAATGTTGCAAAATGCATTGTAATTGTCAGGAACGCATTCTACATTTGTTTGAAAGATGTTGAGGCCTTGCAAAGTAATTATATGCAGGACTAAAAGCTGTAAACTGACAGACTTGCAACAAATGTATGATGTACTCAAACACAATGCAACAAATGTATGATACTCAAACACAATGACAATTTCTCAATCAGCTGATTACAAATGCATTTCATCTTATACAAACAAAGTTTAAAAACAAGATTGCCCTTAAAGAATAAATGGCCATTTTCACATCATTTAAAACAGCTTTATTAATGAGAATGGGACATTATTGGCATTAACTACCTGAACATCATTAAAAACACAATCCATCTTCAAAAGTAAAGAAGAATTCACTGTTGACAATAACAGTGTTGTATAAAGCATTTTGCTTTTGGATATATTTAGGATTGCTGTTTATTCCATGAGAAAACATCATTAAAAATAGGCATCATTGCAGGGGGGGGGGGGGATTCCCTTCGTAAACATAAGTAAATTAGAGCAGTAAATGAAAATGAGGAATATCAGTGCTCAAACCTGACTTGCAGAACTTTATGAGGGGTATTTACATATCAATACACTAGCCAGAAACTTACCACAATCAAATCGCTTCTTGATCCAGAAGGAACATCCTTACATCCAGGCTCCTATTTGTAGGACATAAACAAAAATGACAGGGGCATCGTTCATGGCAGGTAATACAAATGGAAGTAAACATTAGAAAATCATAAGTTTGAAAACAATTTATAGGTCATGTTGTACAATGTAATTATTGTTACAAGAATATCATTTCATTTCATTGATTGGTTCGACCATTTTTTTAAAACAAACATTTAAAATTACAAACGATGTTCGAAAGATATATTCAAAACATATTTGACATACAAAGTAAAAATGGTAGAATCATTGACATATAGTAAAGACGTGCTTAAGGATATGTCAGGAGGAATAGGGTTCCAAATAACAGAAAAATTGTTTCTTACAGATTTAAAAAATATAGTTGTTTCCTGGCCAAAATTTAAATGAGTCTCGCCCACGAGTATTATAATAATGAACATCATTAAAACACCAGAAAGCAATCAGTGAAAACTGAAGAAAAAGGGAAGTGTAAAATACAAGCAGTTATGAAATTTGAAAGTATGCTCAATTAATCAGAAGTTGGATATCTGCAAAATATTTTAAAGTCTACAATTTTTGGGTAGAGAAATAGTCATCAATTTCTACTTGTTTTCCAAAAAATCATTTTCTAGCACCTGTGTCCTATTGAACCAGGGAGTGCCTACTAACTCTTGATTATGTTGATCTTTCTTTAAAATAGATCTATTCCTTTGATCAATTAAGGATGGTTGTGTTGTGATAATTAATGGGAAGGCTTCTCACAAGAGAAAACATATAATTACAAAGTATTGTGTTTAACTCATCAACTTGAAAACTTTAACATGTCTTAAATGTCTTAGCTTTTATATAGAGTTCCCTTTAGATTTCACTATTTTGTTTCTTGCTTTTTTTTAAACCAACATAATAACAAGATGGACATCCACTTTCATGACTGGTGTTACATACAGGTACTTCCCTATTTTAAAAATCATTATCCTTATTGACAGAACTGTAAGCGATGTCAGAAAAACAAAACTTGTTCAACCTAAACAACAAGGAAGTCTACAGCTTTTTCAGGCTGGGGCAAAGACTGAGGTGTTACAGATACAAACAAAAAGCCAGATTCCTAACTTACAATACAAATTAAAAATAGAAAAGGACTTTCATTTGTGTAAAAAAAATTGGCAAACTTACAGTGCTAGTTGACACTCTCTTGGAAGAACAGCTCTGGAATCACTGGGAGCACCTCCATTCGTAATTCTCATCTCATTCATCTGCTAAGAGACAATGACCAAAACTTGTACATTCAAGAGATGCCTTAAATTTACATTACCTTAGTTTTAGCATAAACATCAAATTTTTCTTTTAAAATTGAAACCAATTATGTCATGTAGTGATTATTGAGCATTACTGGTATGACTCCAAACTTTAATAGCGCTCAGCAAGTTCAGCAAGCTCAGCAAAATAAAGTTGGAACTAAAGTTGATTAAAAATGGTAGTTTTAATTATTAAAATAGAAAACCAACATACTATTAAAAATACAAATTAGATAAATTGGAATGGTTTCTGTGACTAAATAATTCTGAAATTCATAAGATACATCTAAATTAGACTCTAGACCCAACTCCACTTCTCAACTAAATCTACAAACACCCAGTATGGGCACATCCTAGGTATTTACATGTATTCAGTATGTTGAGGTTTTATCAAGCTGATGGCCATGCCCTTACTCGCACTAATGTAGCCAGGGGACAGGGCGACACATGCCTCCTTAATAATGCTTTTGGATAAAACTTATTTGTTGTTGTTGGTTTTTATGGCGTTTTCCATAGTCATTGGTAACATTGGTAAACCAAACTGACGTTATTGGTACAACAAACTGACAGAATGCAACACACATACCAACAAAAGGTATAATTTACAAACAAAAATGGTAGAAGAAATACCATTTTCCAGTTGTGAATGTGTGAAAATTATCACAACTCTCTTGATTCACTCACACAGAATTGTTATCTTTAGTCAGTTGTAAAATGTGTCTGCCAATTTTATTTTGATTATATTTGGTTATATTTACATTTAGGTCCAAAGGATGAACAGGACAACATGATATGAGCTTAAAACTTAAGCATCATGCTCTGTTATTACATGTAGCTTTGGAAAAATTGTCAGAAAATTGATTATGATGTACCCACATCATGTGTGATTTACCAACAACAACAGTTAAAGAATACATTTTCAAACGGTAAAGTGTAAAATTGTCTCAACCTGCTTCCTTTGCTCACTTAAACAAAATGTACTTCCTGTCCTCCATCTGAATGAAATTTCTTTCAAGTTTGATGGAGTTCCAAAGGACCAACAGAAACAGAGTTTACTAATGTATACCTAGCTTGATAATGAGCATAATTAATACAAGACCTGTTTGACAGCCATTAATTAAACCTGCAGTAAAGATGTGAAACAGGCAGGAAATCAGAGGACAATGATATTCTGGAATTAGATGACTTCCCTAAGCTGGGGGATGCAAAACCTCCCACTCCCTTCCCTTCCCCCAATTCAGGGCAACCAGCTCATATTAAGGCAGCAATTACTTGCCTTTAGCCACTTTTATTGGGTTTTCATAATTTGTTGATAAGATATCAAACATAAATCAAGTCAATCAAACAAAAAACAAACAAAATGCAGCAATACAACAGCATACAACGAAAACAGTGCTTCGTAACTATCTACATGTAATAAAAGCAGTCACTTTGTCTCTTCCACATATCTATCCTCTGTAATTAGAAAAAAAAAAGTGTCTAATTTAGTAGAGGGATAAACATTTTTGCATTTAAGTATCAAGTATGTAGAATTTGAAAGATTAAAAAAGCAATCATCATAATAATTTGCTTTCGTAGATATACAGACAGGATTACAGATCATAACAGTTAAATTTCCTTTTCTTCCAGAGAGGGAGAAAAAGAAAGTAGTTTAAAAAAAAGGTAGTTTCAGAAATTAATATACTGTACTCATAACTTAAATCTCCATTTCCGAAAATGAATTGGAAGTTTGTCATTTTTCTTAGCAATACGATATTCAATATCTTTGTTAACGGCAATACATGTACATGCTTTATAACCGTAAAAGGTTGGTGGTTTATTTTTGAATTTGCAAACATACATGTAAGTATAATATTTAGGTAAAAGAAACAAATATATTAGGAATTTATCGACATTATAACTAAACATCTTTTCAAATGTTGAAACATTTTGTACATCAGGCTTTTTGGTTTCCTGAAAAATAACTTTCATATTTTCATCCCAAATGTGTTTTACAATAGGAAATTCAATAAAAACATGTACCGGTATATAGGTTTCAGGGGCATTAATTGTTACAAAGGGAACAGTTGGGGGAGTCCTTTCTTTTGATTTTATACAAAAAATCATTCACACCTAGTGCTTTAAGAAATAAATTTAAATAGAAAGAGTGCATACATGTACTTATGGTGGATTTAAAATTATTTACATGATTTTTTTCACATTTGACCTCATCAGAGTTGTGAAAATCATTCCTAAATATCATTTGTTTGTATGGAACACCTGGTTTTAACATGACACTGTATGCATATTTTGGAATTTTCTGAGTTTTCAAAAGTGTGGACTGTGGTTCTAATTTCTTCAATAATTTCATGTGGGGTTAAGTGAGACTAACCACTCATTTTGTTTATTTTTCACATTCAAAAGTTGCATTTCCTCCTGTCCTGTGCACTAATATCATAATCAAGAAAAGCTCCTCAAATAGTTTATTACCAGGGTGAGGAGGGTTGAGTAAATCACTAATAAACAGTTACCTCTGTCTAACCTAGCTATCCTGATATATGAAATGTTGCTTTCATTTTGAGCAAACGTTTCTATTCAACCAAATAAACTGACAAGAACCAATTGGGAAAAGGGTGAATCAAATTCAGCTTCCAAATTTTTTCCCCTAAATATATAACATGTTCGGAGAGACTTGGCCAATTGACTTGAGATTAATCTGTTAAGAACATATTCAGATGCATGTGTGTTCCATAGAATATCCTTACTATCACTAAAATTGTTACAAACAGAAATTTAATAGACTTCCACCAACTGTCATAATTATCATGAAGGAGCATTTTAACCCATGACATTTTTTGTGAAACAGACGAAAGTAGGGGTCAATCATTCGTAAACCACCCAAAGAAAATTCATTACACATGTATTGTCTTTTGGCCCTACCATTTCCACCACTCTATATACATCTAAACAACAAAGTATTTAATCGTTTGAAAAAACTCTGTGGTATTTTAACACATAAGACAGAAGGAAGAAAAAAAGGAGTAGTGGCAACAATAGGGTCTTTACAACACAGAACTTCCCAACGAGGGATAAGATTCTACCAGCCAGCACTTTAAAGTCTTTTTAATGGATTTGAGTTTGGTCCTATGATTAAGTTCATATAGTTGATTTAAATTCAAAGAAAAATGGACACCTAAAGTTTTTAAAGTAGAGTTATTCCACTTTTAACAGTTAACAGAAAAGGAAATGCATAAGAGCCTTTCTTAGAACCAATCCATATTGCTTCTGAATTAGATATATTGAGCTTACAACCAGAGCTATCAGAAAAATTACCAATAGTGTCAAACAATCATCTAAAGGAGGTAACTGAGCCATTAATAAAAGATGTGGAATCATCTGCTAACAAAGATATTGTTATGTATTGCTAGAGGCATGAGCGTCCCTGGACGGTGTGTGGGCTCTATAAGTTTACACTATTATTACATTATTATTATATTTTCAATTGTTTAAACAAATTGTTGGCTTACACCCAGTAGATGCAGGTTCAAATCCCACTAGTTCCAAGATTTTTTCTGACTTGTTTTTTAATTACAGATCAATCAACCAATCTTTATTTACTGGGTGTTAGCCAGCAATTTGTTTAAACAATTTAAATTTCTCCCAGGAAGCATTACATTTATAAAGATATATATTATTTTCAACTGGTACTCCTTCGCTTTGAAAGTTTTGTCTAATAGTAAGAGCCATAGTTTCAATAACTAATAAAAACAAGTATGGAGATATGGGACTTCCTTGAAAAATATCATTTTCTCATGTTAATAGAATTTATCAAATTTCCATAATTACATACATAACTTTTTTGACCAGAATAAAACATTTATATCCAGTTAATGAATTTATTACTGAAATTAAATGCTGTAATACACCAAGAAGGAACTGATGAGAAACACTGTCAAAAGCTGTCTGAATGTCAAGCAGAACAATTGCACCTGGAATTTTCTTTGAGTCTGTATAAGATTCAATTTAAATCTGTTATCAACCAGAAATTGTTTCCAATATTCCTACCCTTTAAAAAAAAAGATTGGTCAGGGTGAATCAAGTATGACAGACATTTTTTCAAACGGTTTGCTAAAGTTTTGGCTAAAATCTTGTAGTCTACTGTTAATAAGGAAATAGGTCTAAATTTGGGTAGATAGGAAGTATCTCTATCTTTTTCAGGAATCAAAGTAATAACTCCATTCTTTTGAGAGGTAGACATTAGTCCATCCTGCAGAGAAGAAAATTTACACAAGTTTAAAAGCATATCAGAAAGGTCTTTCCAAAAAACTATATAAAACTCCACAGGTAAACTGTCCAGTGATGGTGATTTGTTATGACTCATTGAATTAAGTGTCTCCAACAATTTTTGCTTAGTAATGTGTTTTTCAAGAAAGTCTTTATGAACTTCATTTAATTGAGGAAGTTCAATGGAATCTAAGAAATTAACCATTATACCATCCAAATTATTATCATTGCATCTTCTCTTATACAGGGCTTGATAAAATGAATGAATTTCTCCCAAAATCGTTTGTTGATTTACAATAATGTCATTACTATCATTCTCTAATCTAAATATACTCTTCTTTTCTACAACTCTGTTTTATAAATTACAAAAATATCTGGAACTCTTCTTCAGTCCATTGGATTAGAGAACGAACAATAAAACCTTGGGTTTCATCATTTTTTTTCATTATTTTTTGTCAAGAAGCTCAGTATTATCTATATCTGCACCTAATTTGATATCTAAATTCTCAATATCTTTCAATTTTTTTTAAATATTGATAATTCTCGGTTTCGTTTTTTCTGGGACGCAATGTATATATAAAAGAGGTTTTGAACTGTGACATTCAGTAATTTTGTTTCACCTTCTTTGAAGCTTGGATTAAAAAGAGGGATGTTTTCACCAAACTGATCTGATAGTAATGAAATAAATTGATAACCAA